AAGTACCACGCTAATGTGCTAAGGTTTAAAGACTATCTGAGTGAAAGAAAACAAAACGTACCACTTCATAACTTACTAAGTGACAGCGCATCCTGTATATATGGTAGTTTAGTTTAGTTTAGTTTATGTATAGTACATATGGTATTCCACAAGGAAGTACACTGGACCCAGATGTTTGTGATCTACATTAATGACTTTATACAGTAGTAAATGGTGCAACAATTCAGATGTTTGCCGACGATACTGTACTTCTATTTCGGGAACGAACCTGGAAATCAGTATACAAGTTAGCTGAAAAAGGTTTAAAAACCGTTACTGCATGGCTGGAAGACAACCTACTATCATTAAATACGTCTAAAACAAAGTTCTTAGGCTTTGGCATTGCAAATGCTTACAACCCGAGTGTAAATACAAAGTTAGTAATACATAAATTTCCTTGTAACAGGTTTCCAACCACCACTCTTGTATGTAACTGTCCGCACTTATTGCGTAGTGACAATGTAAAATACTTGGGCGTAATTATTGATGACAAGTTAAATTGGTTAGCACATATCACTGCTGTTGGTAATAAATTAAGGAAGCTCATATATGTGTTTAAAAACTTAAGAGATGTTTTAGATAATAAAACTATAATGAAAGTATATAAAGCCCTTGCAGAATGTGTTATGACTTACTGCATTAGTTCTTGGGGTGGTGCAGCTAAAACACACCTCATCGAACTCGAACGTGCACAACGTGCTTTATTGAAAGTTATTAAAGGCCTACCTTTTAGACACCCGACTGAGGACTTATACAAAAAATGTGGCGTACTTACCATGCGAAAGTTATATACTCGTATTTTCCATTCTATTCGTAAATATCACAAAAGTACTGCTTCTCAAATACAAATAAGTGTTAAGAGGACGGTCCGCTATCCCTTGCCTGCCTACAAGAGCAACTTCGCTAGAAGACACTTTAACTACTCTGCTACATTACTGTACAACAAATTAAATACAATTTTTAAAACCGCGCATCTAAGTAATCATAATATTAAGTCAATTTTACTAAAGTGGTTAAGTAATTTTGACTATGACGCTACTGAGAATCTTATCGTTTTCACTAAATAATTCTTATACAATATTACGACGTTTACACACACACACACACACATACACACACACACACACACACATACACACACACACACACACACACACACACACACACACACACGCGCGTACGTGCGCACGCACGCACGCAAGCACGCACGCATGCGTGCACGCACGCACGCATGCACGCACGCACGCACGCACGCACGCACGCACGCACGCATGCGCGCACGTTCGCACGCACTCACACACGCACGCACGATTGCACGCACGCACGCACGCACGCGAGCACGCACGCACGCATGCACGCACGCAAGCACGCACGCACGCACGCTCGCACGCACGCACGCATGCACGCCCGCACGCACGCACGCACGCCCGCATGCACGCACGCACGCACGCGGGCACACACACACACACACACACACACACACACACACACCATACTTTTTATTTACCTTATTATTATTGTAATTTTTCATTTATCAAAAGGCGTAGGGAAGTGGCGACCCCATCGCCCGTTGACGTAACGGTTATGTGACAAAACCGCTACGTCAGCGCAGTCAGTCAGCACCTTGCCAAGAGGTGTTAGTGCCGTGCCTCGGCAAAAATTGAAGGCCTAATAAAAAGTGTGTGTGTGTGTGTGTGTGTGTGTGTGTGTGTGTGTGTGTGTGTGTGTGTGCGTGCGCACGCACGCTCGCACGCACGCACGGACTCACGCACGCACGCACAAACGTCCGCACGCACGCACGCACGCACGCACGCACCGCACACACATACACACACACACACACACATACTTTTTATTTACCTTATTATTATTGTATTTTTTTCTCTCTTTTTACTTGGGTAGCCTATATGTTATTTTTGATGTCATTCTAATTAATTTTTTTATATCGTTTGCTATAATACTTTGTCACATTACAACTATGTGCCACTGAAACGGGGAAGATGCTGTAGCCTGTAACACAGTTTTCAACTACCACTGGCTACAGAGCTACAATATGGTTTGTTTGTATAAGTTATGTGAGAAACAATAAAAATTATTTTTATTATTGATGGTATATGAAATATTTGTATTTACCTTATATATTAACTAAATAACCAGACGAGAATACACTACTTAATAACCCCAAAAAATAATAATAATAATAATAATATTACCCCTCACATAATGGGCTAAACAAACCATAATGTAGCTCTGTAGCCTGCAACAGCAACTACCACTGGCTAGAGCTACAATATAATTATTATTTTGGGGTATTAGTAGTGTATTCTCATCTGGTTGGGCTGAATAAATATATAAAAGGAAATGATAAATATACATAAATATATATTTCATATACCATCAAAAATAAATAAATAATACATAAATAAATAAAATCCCAACCAGATGGAGGCCCTCGGCAGGGGAGACTAAACGGCCGAGGGTTAGGAGGAAAGGAAAAGAAACCGAAGGACGGTACGGGCAGTATCGAGGAGCACCGCCTTCTGCATTTGAGCCTGGAGCGGTCCGTCACGGAATCCCAGCCGCCTCAGATGACCCGAGAGGCTGACGGGGATTAGCCCGTTAACAGAAACGACTACAGAAATAATTTCAGTCGGCAGACCACTCCACATGTCTGTCACCTCGTGAGCCAGGTCCAGATATTTTTTTCGTTTATCTGTTTCGGCTTTCACGAGGTTCGCGTCATACGGAATGGTAATGTCGACCAAAAATATTCCTGACTGTGCCCGGTCCATCAGCACAATATCAGGCTTATTCGCAAGAATAGTCCTGTCTGTGATAATGGCCCGGTCCCAGTAGAGCCTGGCGCGATCATTTTCGAGCACGGCTTCCGGCAAGTACTTGTAATACGATAATTTCCGGTCCACGAGACCGTATTTCAGAGCAAGCTCCTGGTGAAGAATTATGGCTACTAGGTTGTGCCTGTGCAAGTACTCAGAGTTAGAAAGCGCCAAACAACCGGAGATGACATGCCTAAGTGACTCACCGGGATGGCGACAAACTCGACAGATGTCGACGGTGCCATCCTTTAGGGGATAGTTGTTGGTCTTAATAACCTGATCCTGTATTGCACAGACAAAACCCTCGGTTTCCACGAAGAGGTCACCAAAGCGTAGCCAGTGGAGGGAGGCTACTATGTCTACGAAAGGCTCATGTTGAGCCTTGTAGAACCTCCCATGGATCTCCTTCTCCTTCCATACGATCTCCCGGTCGGAAATGCTCTGCACTGCCAGGTCTTGCTATTGCTCGTTGGTTAAGGATAGAGTGGTAAGTCCTTTATCACAAAAAATGACGTCCTTCTAGAATGGATCATCCGATCTCGCCATGAAGTAATTACGGAGGCTGCACGCTTCGCGATTATGCATGGTAAGCGCGCTCAAAAGGCCACGTCCACCATGCTTTCGCGACAAGTACAGCCTCATTACTGACGATCTCGGAATATGCACCCTATGGGACGTCATAGTAGTGCGGACTTTCCTATCCAGGGCGTTAAGTTCAGTCTAAGTCCACCTGAGTATGCCAAAGGTATACATGAGGACAGGCATGACCCAACCGTTATATTCTTGTGTCTTATTCACACCAGACAAAAGTCTGTTGAGCACTTTGGTCAAGTGTGCATAAAACACGTCGCAAACTGGCTGTTACATACTAGCCTCATCGATACTGATATTCTGTGACATACCCAGGTATCAGTATGTTTCAGCCTCGGAAAGGGTCCTTAAGTTGACGGGCATAGATAAGTCTATGCCCTCAGAATTAGCAACCCTTGCCATTTCAACATGGAGGACCGCACTAATCCGTCCCCAGCTCCATTCTAATAGAATTGCTAAATTCACAAGTGATGTTTAGCAATTCCATAAGATGGGAGCGACTGGAGGCGAATAATTTGAGGTCATCCATATAGAAAAGGTGGGTCACTTTTGTACCTCCTTTTCAAAGCTGAAATCCCCTCCCGGAACCCTCCAGTAAGGTACTGAGAGGGTTCTAAGACAGGTAGAACCAGATTGGACTCAGACAGTTGCCCTGGAATATACCCCTTCTTATCCTTATGCGGCTTTCCGCAGCCGTCATCCGCTCGCCTAGATGACAGAGGATTGTACTCCACTGCCCCATACACTGCTCGAGGAAGTCTCGAACTGTAGAGTCAATCATGTATAGATCGAGGACCTTCTTTATGGGGCACCGAGTCAAATGCCTTTCTGTAATCTATCCAGGCGGCGGAGAAGTTCCGACGGTTGCGTTTCACCACTTTGCCAATGACCGCGTCAATGAGGAGTGGTTCCTTGGTTCCACGACCGCCGCCCCGACATCCATTTTGAGCGCGCGACATCACCTGATTTGAGTCCAGGTGACGAGTGATTCTCGCGCTCAAAATGGATGTTAGTGTCTTGTATATGGTCGGTAGACACGTGATGAGGCGGTATTTGCTCGGGTCTGTGGCACCCTGATCTTTAGGAACCAAATGAGTGATCCCAGTAGTAAAGAGACTTGGAAGCAACTTCTGGTTGAGAGCCTCTTGAAACTGTTGGGCGAGCACAGCGTGACACACCATGAACCCCTTCAGCCAGTAGTGATGCAGCCCGTCAAGCCTCGGACGTTTCCAGTTAGGAGCCCTACGGACCGCCTCAGCTACGTGATCCAGCGTTATGATGACGGGGTTCATGGGCGTAATACCCGCACACTAAACTCGCCACAACTTCCGTCCAAGGGCCCTCTTTGTAGTTTATGGGCTCTGACCACAGCATGCGCCAGAATGCGACCGTGTAGGCCTGATTCAGTGCTGGGCCCGTTCCATTTACCATTGGTCGCTCCAATGATTGATAGAGCCTCTTTTGATCACTTTGGAAGAGACGATTCTGGTTGAACCGTATCGACCTTTCGGTATATCGCCGAATCCGCTTTCCTCAAGCAGCGATTCTTTGCTTCTGGTCATCTATGCGCTCCGTCAGTTTTTGCATAATATCCGGCTGGGACAAACTAACATTTGTCCCAGCAAACTCCATCCTGACGGTGCGCACAATTCTTGGCCTGGCATTGCCTGACCTGAAGCATATCAGTCTGACGATGAGGGCCATAGCCTTTGCGATACGTTCTTCAATTCTTATTCTCCAGGCTGGGATAGCACGACTTTGTTCAGTAGCGCGTCCAGCCGTGGAAAGTTTGGCGCCTATAATACGGCAGACTGCCAGTGCGGTACCAAAAAGAATTGAGTCCGTCTCGCAAAGGACCGGCTGGCTTCCAAATAGGTCATCAGCATTGGGTTCAGAGCCCTCACGACAGCCTGATTTCGCTTACTTAGGGCTATGCGGGGAAGTCGGGGTCGATTTTCGAGAGGCGTACTGCGCGTTTCCACGATCGCCTCTTCCAATGTACTCCTCATTTGCTCTATTTCCAGTTCCTGGGCGACTGTTCCATCATCGTTTGAATCAACCACAACTGGGGTATTCACGGCGGCATCCACGTTTGCCGTTTGATCAGCAAGTTGTAGCGCCGCATCCTCCGCCGCAGCATTTTTACCCGATTAAGGAACAGCCTCACGTCGTAGCCGTTCGAGTTCGGTGACATCAAATGTATTTGAGCGCAAGATATACCGAACTCGGTCTGCCAGGTTTTGCTCGGTGACGGTTACAGATGGCTCCAGCTCAGCAAAAAGTCGATGCATCCTTACCCGATACGCAAAACCTCCAGTTTTCCCCCTTTCGCCCTTAAATACGCCCGCAATGCGTTGCTGTTCATCTGGGTTGTCCAACGCATGCGGCGTACTCCACCAGTGGCGGGTGCCGATTGCTGGGCCCGCGAAGACCCTGCCGATACCAAGCCAGCTGGTGGGGATGATGGATGCGAGTGGCTGCTGGGTGGTCGTGCAGCACCACGCGCTCGGCTGACGGTTTGTATGCTGTCGCATCTAGCGCCAGCTCCAGACGCACCCTGGACACCTCTAGACAGCGGCCCTTTGCGCGTTCCATTTAATTCCATCATCCATTTTACAGGGCGTCATTTAACGGGAGACAATTACGTCACTTAACAATGGACAACCACTTCATTGCCGTGCACTTCTAATCGCACCGCACCTATACGAAGAAGTTCGAAAGAAGCCATCGTAGCCCTGCTGTACAAACACTTCAGCACTTCGATATACCGACAGTCAACTTAGCACCGCTGAAGGGACTGTAGCACCGCCCAAATTTCGACGGAATCAAAGGCTTTCTCATAGTCCACATATGCCAGGCAAAGTGGCAGATTGTACTCCTCGGTCTTCTGTACAATCTGTCGCAGGGTATGTATGAGGTCTATGGTACTGAAGCTTTTTCGGAAACCGGCTTGTTCGGGAGGCTGGAAGTCGTCGAGTCTGCGTGCGAGACGATTTGTAATGACTCATGTAATGTCGAAAACAGCATGTAGACGCGGCTCAGAAGGGAAATCGGTCTGTAGTTCTTCAAGAGAGCGTTCTCGCCTTTCTTAAAGAACAAGACCACCGCGCTTCTGCTCCACGCCTCCGGAGTAGTGCCACCATGGAGGACGGAATTGAAGAGCTACTGAAGGACTTCAAGTACCGGTGTTCCACCCGCTTTCAGAAGCTCCGCTGTAATTCCATCCTCGACCGGGGCCTTGCCGTTTTTAAGGTGGTGGAGAGCCATTCTAATCTCGCTCAGACTGTCTCGTCCGGGATATCTACGGAATAGTGTCGGATAAGACTTGCTCTTGGATCGTTACTCACACTTGCGTGTGGCTCTAACGATGATGTGTACAGCTGCCCATAGAACCTCTCAATCTCACTCAGAATCTCAGGTGTCCCGGAAACGATGTTGCCACACTCAGTCTTCAGCCTTGACAGTTGGCTCTTTCTGACAGACAGATCTCTGGCAAAGACTTTGGAGCCCTGGTTCCGCTCGATCGCTTCTTTAATACGAGCAGTATTAAAGTTGCGTAAGTCTCGCCGCATGCATTTGGAGATCTGTCTGTTCAGTTCCTTGTATGCTGTCAAATCTGTTGACGATTGCAGCCTCATCTCCCGTCTAACAGCCATAAGATTAAGAGTGTGATCGGAGAGTTTTTGTGTTCTTCTGCGGCGGGTCTTGCAGAACTTAGCTCCAACCGCATGGACAGTTTCCACGAGCTTGTCATTTATATCGTCCACTGCATTGCAATCCTCTAGGCACTGAAAGCGGTTTTGTAACTCGAGCTGAAAGGTTTCGGGATTCTGGATTAGAGCACGAGGGGGGACGGAGCGTTGACTTCATTAGACGAGACCTCTCCAACTTAACTTTTAGGTTCAGTGTGTTTTCACCCTTGCGATCACTGAGACATCACTGAACAGTTGGCGTCTGGTCGTCATAATGAAGTCAATCTCATTTTTTGTCGAACCGTCGGGGCTCGACCAGGTCCACTTCCTGTGGGGCCGCTTCTGGGAGAAAGAGTTCATCATAAAGAGTCCCTCTTTCTCCATAAAGTCGGCCAGCTGCTGGCCTCTTCGGTTCCGTTGCCCTACTCCGAATTTCCCCACCTTCAGCTCACCGCTTTCTCTTGTGCCTAGTTTTGCGTTGAAGTCTCCCATCAACACCGTGTAGTGGGTTTTGGAGGAATGCATGGCTCTGGAAATATCCTCATACATTTCCTCCACCTCCTCATCGGGATGTGCCGAGGTTGGTGCGTAAACCTGTATGACCTTCAGCGAATACCGTTTGGTGATTCTGAGTATCAGGTACGCGACCCTCGTCGACACACTCCCAATCCTTACAACGTTGTTGACGAGAGACTTGTGGACGATAAATCCGACACCTCCTTGGGACAGATGGTCGCCCTCCCGGTGGTAGAACAAGTTGCCGGACTCGAGGATTGCCGTATCCTCCCCCTCTCTACGGACCTCGGATAATCCAATAATATGCCAGCGCAACTTGTCTACCTCTTCTTCCAGCTCCAGTATCTTCTCGTCAGTCCTCAAGGTGCGTGCGTTATATGTTGCCAGGTCGAGTCGTCGTAGGTGGCAACCGAACCTCCACCGGAGATTCTTAGCACACCCTACCCCGCCGTTACCATGGTCGCCACCGTAGCCAGGAATAGCGGAGCCGCCGGGGACTGGGGACCGTTTTTTTGCGTCGTTATTCATGGGGGGATATTTGCCATAGTTGCCACGCTTGGCGAGCGGGTTGGCAACCGCAGTTTTTTATTATAACACAGTTGTTATCAGGAAGATGCTGCTGCCCATCTCCTGCCTGTCTCCCTCTGTCGCCTCTTACGACACCCACTGGAAGATATGGGGTAGTGGATATTCTCTACCGCCACTACACGGCATAATCTGTATCTTAATGTGTGTACATAAAATAAATTAAAATTAAAAAAAGGAAGAAAAAAGAAAATAAAACAACGTACCCATGTGATTTTAATTCCCTTTAAAAAACTTTACTTCATTGAGATTTTTTTATGTTGTCTTTACTATTATATATTTTTCTTAAATTATGTATGGAACATTCTGCAATCAATATATAATTAAGTTGAAAGTGTCATCAGATAATTTACGATTTAATCGATTTTAATATTTTTATTACTGTATCTAAATAAAATCAAAATGCTATATTATCAACTGTGTTACGTAAGCACTTATGTGTGGCATGTTTGTATTAAAATGAAAGAGGATTTATTGATTTACAATGATAGATTTTAAACCAGTCGCAAGGTCCCCTGTACTAGGTTGGGAATCTGTATTACTGGGTACTCCGCTCGTCCACCAAGACAATACAATGTTAATCAATAAATAACAAAAGGCAAGGCAAGATCTAGCATTAGGGATTAAATGAAATTTGGAATAATATATTTTAAATAATTACATGAAAGCATGCACGCGTTTGTGTGCGTGTGTGTGTGTGTGTGTGTGTGTGTGTGTGTGTGTGTGTGTGTGTGTGTGTGTGTGTGTGCGCGTGTGTGTGTGTGTGTGTTACGTGGTTGTGTGAGTAGTTATTTAACAATTGGTGTGGCTGTTCGAAGTATAAAAGTTATGTAATAAATTGTTCAGTTTCCTCGTAATTTTGTGTTAATAAAAATTGTGTCACTTCACGTTTAACTTTAGTTCACGTCAAAGGGTAAATATTCAATCTGCTGTTGTATTTGTTGTAAATGGATGTAGATTGGAATACGTATTGCTTTTGCTTAAGCTTTGTTTTATTTTGTGGTATATTGCAAATTATGGTACTCCTACGTTTTGGTGTCTGATGAGGTATAAAAGGTAAATGTCGATGCATTTTTAAGATGCAATTCAATATATACATCTGGCGAGTAGTAAGCAATTTGTAAGACTTATGTAGTTCAAAAGTTGAAAATCGAAACGGTTTCAAAAACATCACCTCCAATTAGAGTTCTTTGAGCTCTTTCTAGTGCTATTAGATGTGTTTTTGCTGCACCACCCCAAACAGGTATGCAATAACTTATTACCGATTGCGCTAGAGCTTTGTAGGTGGTGATAAGAGCAGTTTCATTTGCAACACACCTGAGTTTATTGAATACCCATGTTAGTTTCCTTATCCTGTCAGCAATGTTTCAATGTGTTGACTCCAGGTTTAGTGCTGATCAATAGTTACACCGAGATATTTGATGGTACTAGTTCTAGAGATATTATCACATGAGCAACTATTACAGCTATTTAAACATGGTTTATGGCAGGTATGAACTGTTAGGTTAAATTTAGAATTAGGTTGTGTATTTTTCCGTATAGAAAAAGGTATGAATTTTATTTTGTTAATGTTAAGAGTCAGAAGGTTCGATATTAGCTAGTTAGATATATGGTGTATTCCGGAGTTAGCAATATTCCATAGATTTTCCCATGATTTTGCGTTAAAAATAAGAGCAGTGTCATCTGTGTAGGTGTATATTTGACAATTTTGTAGGCTTAAATTGCGTAGATCGTTGACATGATTAAAAATAGAGTAGACCCGAAGACGCTACCTTAAGGGACACCATAAGAGATATTTGATGGACGGCTCACATATTCACCAAGTTTGAGCTGTTGCTGACGTTCAGTAAGATAGTCTGTTAGAAGGGCATGAGGCAGACCTCTTATACCATATTTATATAGTTTGATTAACAGGATAGGAATAGAAACGGTGTCGAACGCCTTGGCCAAATTAAAAGACTCCGAGACATTTGTTACCAGAGTCCAGTTGCTTACTTATTTCTTCAGTTAAAGCTAACGCAACGTCCTGAGTAGAAATTTCATTTCTAAAACCAAAATGGTTTTTAG